GAAGGAAAGTTACAGTCATTCAATGCTATGCGCCTACAAACGTCTCAGAACAAGAGAAGAAGGAGGCGTTCTACAGACAACTACAAGCAATAATGGACAACGTCCCAAATGGCGATATCAAAATCCTGATGGGCGACATGAATGCGAAGCTGGGAGGAGACAACACAGGAAGAGAACTCACCATGGGTCGTGAGGCCCTCGGCGAAATGAACGACAATGGTGAACTCTTCTCAGACTTCTGCGCCTTCAATGATTTGGTGATTGGCGGTAGTGTGTTCAAACACAAGGATATACACAAGACGACATGGATTTCACCAGATGGAAACACCAAGAACCAAATAGACTTCATCTCAATTTCAAGAAAGTGGAGACGGAGCCTACTGGACACAAGGTCAAGGAGAGGAGCAGATGTGGGTTCAGACCACTATCTAGTAGAAGGGACTTTCAAGGTGAAACTAAAAGCCTCGAGGATAGCTGGAGATAGGCCACAATGCAAGTTCAACACTCAATTACTGAAGGACACAACCACAAAAGACACTTCACTGCAACTGTCAGAGCAAAGCAGGAAACACTACGCGACATCACTGAAGAATCATGCGTGGAAGAACATTGGAAGTCTCTGAAGGCGATTCTCAACGAAACGTGTTCAACGGTTCTAGGAAGAAAGAAGAGACAAGACAAGGAATGGCTCTCAACGGACACTTGGAAATTAATAGAAGAGAGGAGAATGGTGAAAGAGAAAATGATTCAATGCAAGGACGGACAGGAGAAGGAGACGCTGAGCTCAACTTACAAAGCACTGGACAAAGAAGTGAAGAAGAGTGCTAGGAAGGACAAAAGACGATTCTACGACAATCTGGCCACTGAAGCTGAGAAGGCAGCAGGCAAAAGGGACCTGAGGACACTATATCAGATAACCAAATCTCTATCCGGGAAGAGACCAACACAAGCGAAACCTATAAAAGACAGCCAAGGGAACCCAATTACCAAGGAAGAAAAACAGATTAAACAATGGGCGGATCACTTCAAAGGACTCTTGAACCGACCACCACCTGCAACCCGTCCAGAAATACCAACAACAGCGCGCACACAACTGCAAGTTGACACCAATCCTCCAACGAGAGCTGAAGTCTTGAATGCAATCAAGCTTCTGAAAGCTGGAAAAGCAGCCGGACCAGATGGAATACCCCCTGAAGCACTGAAAGCGGACCCAGAGACTACAGCAGACATGCTGACTCCATTATTGCAAAAGGTCTGGAAGGAGGGAAAGGTGCCTACTGACTGGAGGAAAGGTTACCTCGTGAAACTACCAAAGAAGGGCGACTTACGCCTCACTCTGCAAGAACTGGCGAGGAATCATGCTCCTGTCGACGCCAAGTAAAATCCTGAGTCGCATCATCCTGGAGAGATTAAAGGACGCACTGGAGACAGAACTCCGACCAGAACAAGCTGGATTCAGGAAAGGCAAATCATGTACTGACCAAATTGCAACTCTACGCATCATCATCACAGAACAAAGCATGGAATGGCAATCAAACCTCTACCTCAACTTTATAGACTTTGAGAAGGCCTTCGACAGCGTTGACCGCGAAGTAATTTGGAAATTACTCGAGTACTACGGCGTACCCCAAATATTCATCAACCTTATTCAACAGCTGTACGACAACGGCACATGTCAAGTGATCCACAACGGAAAACTCAGCGAGGCGTTTGGAGTAAACACAGGAGTCAGACAAGGGTGCTTATTATCATCACCAATGATATTCCTAATTGTGGTGGACTGACTGGATTATGCGTCAGACAGTGGGGAAACGAGAAGACAGGAATATCCTGGACCGACGTGAAGAACCTAGAAGACCTGGATTTCGCGCGTGGATGATTTATGTTTGATGTCACACAAAATCGAAGACTTACAAGCGAAAACCGACAAACTGGTCGAAGAAGCAGCCGGCGAAGACAGGACTCCAGGTAAACATAGACAAGACGGAGGTTATGAAAATAACCAACCAACAACAACAACAGCAACATCCAGTGCCAATCACCATCAACGGGAGGGATTTGAAAGAGGTTACTTCATTCACTCACATCTAGGGAGCATTGTCTCAACTACAGGCAGAACGGACGAGGATGTCAAATCGAGCGAGAATCGGGAAGGCGAGAAACACATTCATCAACCTGAAATCAATCTGGAAATCTTCGTCACTCAGCATCAACAACAAAATTCGGGATTTTCAATACAAACGTCAAGTCAGTCAGTTCTTCTATACGGATCAGAAACTTGGCGGGTGGGTCACAAAGAATATTTCCAAAAGGCTGCAGACCTTTATTAACAACTGTCTTCGCTCAATACTGAAGATCAGATGGCCGGAAAGAATCACCAACAAGGAATTATGGGAACAAACAAAGCAAGAACCAATCGCCCAACAAATATGCAGGAGAAAGTGGAGATGGATCGGACACTCGCTGAGGAGACCGCTGGGTGACATCGCGCGTCAAGCCCTCGAGTGGAACCCGAAAGGGAAGCGGCGTGTGGGACGTCAGTGCAAGGGTGACATGGAGGAGATCGTGTGAAGAGGAGTTGAAAGAATATGGACTAACATGGATGCAGGCGAAAAGTACAGCAGAAGACAGAAGCAAATGGAGACGTGCAGTTGAAGCCCTATGTTCCACTAGGAACCCAAGGGAGCAATAATAATAACAAATAGGGGTGCTACACCCATATAACTACTAGAGCCTCTTTCTAATCTTGTGAGTATCCTTGTTCACTCCTATTTAAGAGTCATGAATTACAAATAACAGGTTGTCCATCTTGCTCAAGTAGTGCAGCTATACCCACAGGAGAAGAATCTGTAGTGAGAACAGACTGATCTTCCGATAACAAAGGTCTTAAGAAACTTCTAAGCTCTTCACAAGATATCCTCATATTTTGTTCCCACTTAAATTATTGACTGCAGACAATATCAAAAGTGGAGATTACAGTTGAGTGAAAGACATATTGTTACTTGAATGTGTTTGAATTAGAGGTGCCAGAAGAGTAGCATCAGGTCTGAAACCTTCGGAGTCTACCGTGTATCTTAAGCATGATACAGACGACAAAGTAAAATGACATTTAGCGGGATTAACAAGAATATTTTTCTCATAGAAACGCCTGAACAGTTATAAAAGACGTTTATTATGCAATTTGATGTTCAGTCCATGAACTACAATGTCGTCTTGGTATGACGCAACACCATCTAATCCATCTATCATCTGATTTATTACATTTTGAAATATTGCAGGTGAAGCCTTCAAACCAAAGGGCAAGAACTTATACCTGAACAATCCAAATGAAGTATTAATAGTTGTTAATGCATTAGAAGCTTTGTCAGGAGGAATTTGCAAATAAGCATCTTTGAGATCTATTTTGGAAAAGTATTTTAAGCCACTTAGCTTGTAGAGAATGCCTTCATTTTCTGGCGTAGTGCAGCTTTGCTGCAGTAAGCGACTATTGAGTGTAAGGTGGTATTCATCACAAATTCTTGGTGTTTTTCCATCCGCCTTTAGTGGCATCACAATAGGAGTTGTCCATTTCAAAGATTCAACTGGAATCAGTATCAACTATCTTGTCCAACTCTCCTAAATGTATCTCGCAAAGCGTATGGAATTAATCAGCGCTTTAGGAAGACAGGATCACCATCTGTTTCAAGATTGATGGGCTGAATCTTCATGCCACCTACACTCTCTGAACATTGGAAAACTAATTCCCTGAGCAAAGATTTATCAAATAACTCAGTGCAAAGGGAGATTTCAACATTCAACAATCTAAGGGCTTTTAATCCCAACAAAAATGGATCATATTCACTAACAAGAAAGGGGAATATTTACAAAAATATCGCTTCCTGATTTCAAAGCAATGTTAGCAGTATATTAAGAGGTAGTTTATGATCAGTAATGCCTGTAATGGAACTAGAGGAAAGGTTTACTTGAGCATACTTACAAAACGGTAGTAAATCTTTCTTAGAAATTATAGATTCAATACTCCCAGTATCAATTACAAAAGAGTGAAACTTGCCTGAACTGGTAAGGAAGGTTTTAATCAGATGAGAATGAGTATTGTAAAAAGTTGAAAGAGACAGTGACTGCATTTTACCAGACAAAGTGGAAGAATCATGTGAATTCTGAGTAGCATAAATATTCGAACTTTGGCAAACAGACTTTATATGGCCTATCTTACCACATTTATAGCACTTAGCACGCGGGAAAAATGGCAAGTGCTTTGTAGATGAATCTTCCCACATGAAAAACACAATTTGATATTTTTGCTCTTTGCCTGCAATCCATCAAATGTGGATGACAGTTTGGATTTCTTTGTGTAAACACTTGCATCATCAACTTTGAACAGTATCACATCAGACACTGATGTAGTGAGAGCTGGGTATTCACTGTTAATATCTTCATATGCAGTACATAAATCCATAGCAGTCTGAAAGGTACAGGAAGAAATCTGAACCAGCTTCCTCTCTAGCTTCAGAATATTGATCCCAGAGATTAGACGATCACGCAGTCGAGCATGGATCTAATCCCCAAAGCTGCAGTTTCAAGCTTCTATCTGAAGCTGAAGAATAAAGTCTAGAATCTTTTGGTTAGGAGCACGAGCAAACTTGTTTTCCCATACAGAAGAGTCCGTTATTGAAAATATGCAAAATTGTTAGTACTGTATAAAAACACTAAATTCTATTCTTATTCAACTGTAAACTCTTCTTTTTCATAAAAATGGACAGCTCATGGTTTTTTAACACACTTAGTTTGTGATTCCAAATATATGATCAACTGAGAGAAACATTTATCACTATTAAATACATATCAGTTAACTTAGTTTTGTCTGCACCTAAATCGTATGATTTTATCTGAACTTCTTTCTATAAATAAGCTTATCTTTTCAATTTATTAGGGTCTAAAATATTCATCGATCGATTGAGCATATGACTAGCATTTAAACATGTATCGATTAGAAAGAACACTGAAAGACCAAGAATGATGTGCTTTAGAGCAAAAAAGTCTAAAAACTCCTTTGAAGAAGACGAATATGAAGTATATAAAAGACAATATCGTGAGAATACGATCAGAAAATCTGCATCGCCACCACCACCACCATTACCATCACCACAGTTGCAACGAATAACGCAAACAGCAGATCGTCGGAGTCAATCACCAGTTTCGACTACGCTTTCAACACCTTCACAGAGGTCACCACAAAAGCAACAAAAGAGTTTATCAGACAGACCAAATTCTGCTTTAAAATCTGCTAGTCGAAGTAAATTAAGTGAGAAGTCTGGTAGATCACAGGCAAACTATACGCCTGAAAAACCAAAGAATTTAATGACAAGAAACAGACATCGTGAACTTCAAGAACAAAGCTATACAATCTTAATGCGCTATGGACGACCTGCTTACGACAATCCTCTTCTCAATTGTCAGTAAAATCGTTGATAATGACTTAACTGCACTTCTTAAAGATTAATTATTATTTAATTGAAGGAAATCATTTTTTCAGTTAACTGGATAAACAGTATTTATGTTTATTTTCTGTTCATTTCAGTATTAACTGCTAATTACCATTGAATTTGTGAAAAGTTCAGTTAATTGTGAAGATATACATTCCATAGCACAAATATACTTTCTCATAATTGTTTGCTTCACAATGTGTTCAAGCATTTTTCAGGTAAACTTTTATGGAAGGAAAACTGATCCACTGTATGGTGAAGCTAATCAACAAAATATTTTTAGAAAAAAATATTAATTCTGAAAGTGTTAAAATATAACCAATTAGACCAACTAAAATAGTCATGGTTAACTAGACTGATCTTATTGACTGACAAGATACAAGATAATCTAAATCCCAATGGGACTCGAACCTGATAATCCTTTCATCACACGAAAGTTTACTGGTGAGTGGAATAATAGAATATTTTAAAAGACACGAAAGCATATACAGGTCCAGAGAGCTTTATCAGAAATGAAGATGTGCTTGAATAAATTACAAGATCTAAGGGTATACTCGATAAAAATCCTGGGAAAAATATATTTTTGAAGTATTAATACAGCATGAAATTATAAATTTGTCTATATGTTAAACTAGTGTTTCTTAAGTTATCCTAAAATGGCCGATCTATAGAATGAAGGTTGGCATAGAATATAATATTATATTGCATCAATTCAATTAGTTGTGCTCTAAAACCGCATAGAAACAGAACAATAACAGAAGTAATAAACTATAAATAATTAGAAGAAAAGTTGTTGAAAATAACAGAGAGGATTTTTAACTCAGGTAGATGTTTTCAATATGATTGTGTTCTGTGGACTGGGTGGCTTAATTGCAAAGATTTCATTATCCTTTTAGAAAAATCTCCAGTGTTTACTTCATTGTGAAGTAAGTTTCCTGGAATTCTTCATGAATAACGCAACTGATCCTGATAATAAACTTGGCTGTGACTGGTTGTCTTCAGGGGCCTGATTATTTCTTGTGTTATTCGTTTAACTAACCTGGAATTTGAACCTTTTATCACTTTTGACTCGTGAACTACTCGTTTTTGGTCGATAAATTTGATCTATATTAATATGTTCGTTGATTAAAGCTTGATGCGATCACCAAGATTCCAGGAGTTCTCAGGTATTTCCAGTATTTATGTTGTCTAGAAACGCCAGACAGATTTGCCCGTGAAGTAATTCGCCAGCAGTTTCAACAGTTCACTAAACATTTAAAAGTCTTATTCAAAAGCCTTATGATGATACCACTTGTCACGTGACCCAGAGCGGGAAACTCAATGAAGCTTTTGAAGTGAAGAAAGCAGCAAGACAAGGCTGTCTACTATCACCAATGATATTCCTGATTATGGTGGACTGGATCTTACAACAGATCGTGGGAGGGTAGGACATGACGAACATAGGTTGAACCAATGAGAGGACACTAAAAGATCTGAACTTCGTGGATGATATGTGCCTAATATGGGACAAAATAGAGGATCTAAAGAAGAAAACCAACAAGCTGGCAGAAAAATGAACACAGAGCAGACAGTTGATGAAGATACTCAACTAACAAGTAAAAAACAGTCACCACAAATAGAAGAAACCTGAAGAAATTCGCCTAGTCTAAGTAGCACAGTTTCAACTACAGGCTGCAGTGAAGGAAATAAGAATAGAACTTGTACACTGTAGTAGGGTATAATTCCATTATGAGTAAAATTTATTTTAATAAAGTCTCACAGTGTTATACAGTAATATTTACTAATGACGTTTCGAAAAAAAATTATTGTTTATAATCATATCAGTTATAATCACCCGACTTAGAAAATTGAGTCTTATAGTTTTCTTTATTCTTTCCTATTTGTAGTAGGGGGAGTAGAATTTTTCAGATATCTGGGACAGGTGCGCAACCATTCTACTACCCCTACGACAAATAGGTGACAACAAAGAAAACTATAAAACTGAAGTTTTGAGGTCGTGTGATTATAATTGATATGATTATGAACAAGAAAGTGTGCTCCGAACGTCATCCAGTAAATAATACTGTTTCATTGTATGATATATCTAATAAACAAACTAATATGGAAGTTAGAAAGTTATGTGAGTACATTGATATGTTTATGAGCAATAAATTGTGCTCGAAATGTCATCAGTAAATATTACTATATAACACTGTGAGACTTTATCAAAATAAATTTTACGCATGATGGAAGCAGGGACGGAAAGTCTAGAGAGACTTTTATTACTCTGAAATCAGTGTTGAGATCCACTGCGTTCGGTAGAGAGAATAAGGTTAGGATTTTTAACACTAAAATCAAGTCAATGCTTCTATGTTGTCCAGAGACTTGGCACTTATTTCACAGAAAGCATTCTGAACAGCTTGCTACTGACTTCCATCAACAGCTGCCCTCTCTCCATACGGTAAGTTGGACGTCCTAGGTTGATATGGGCAGGTAGTATGAGGATGAGATGAGAACTTATGGGGAGTAGTGGAAGCAGATGAGGAGGACTCTCAGAGAACAGTACAGAGTGAAGATGTGTTGTTGAAACTCTATGTTAAACTCAAAACATATGGGAATAGTAAAATATTATATGTACATATATATAATATTATATATATATATACCATGCTTGGCATTAAATTAACATAATTCAATACGTTTCTAGCTTTGTTCTTATTCCGTGGACGGACTGTGAAAAGCTGAAGATCTGTGACTTCATTCTCCTAATAATTGCAATAAGTTAAAAAAAAATCGATACGCTAATGTTTTTAAAACGTTATCCCCATAAAAAGCCTTATAAGCACTACTGAATCAAAAGTGAATTAATAGGCTCACTAGAATAATATTAAACCTTCTATCGCATTATAGCTACTATCAAACCTTAACTGCTTAATTAACTGTTTAGTCATGAATGAGAAAAATGTTAAATAATTTACATTTATTTGTCAACACATTAGAGAATTGAATGAAACAATTAAGTTAGTTTGACAGTCTTCCCCCAAAAAATTCGAATTTAATTTAAACATTTTTAGTATACTCTGTTTTATCACTTGCATCAGCATATTGAGAAGACAACTCTGGATCAATTAGGTTGGCAACAGCCATTGGGACTACAAGAATCTTTTCACCTAAATAATTGATAATAATATTAATAGCAAAAAAATAAAACGATGCAAATATAAAAACATGTACTTCCATATTAGGTAAGTTTATTTTAAATATCACACAGCGATGCAGTATTAACAACTGGATGAGATTTCGAGCATAAATTGCTGCTGTTCATAATCATACAAAATTTAGTCTCATGGTTTCACAACTTATCTTATATTTATTTTCTGTCTATTCTGTCTCTCTGACTTCCCTTTGTTATTTGTCGGCAATTTCCATATCTCCGGTATAGGCATTGCGTCATTCCATCATACCACGTGCAATTGTAACAACAGAAGACAAGGGCCGGCAATAAATCGTTTTATTACAGAAATCAGCACGTATTTATATATATTTCATGTGCATTATTAAAGCTTATGCAAGTAGAAAAAGGCGGTCTTCTGATTGGTTGTTTTCAAGATTTCTCGGAAAGTGGAGCCATCTATCTGCAAATCCTACTCGCCCACGTTTAAGTCTCCTGTGATTGATTGTTGAATCAGCCTTGTTCATATTTTCTCACGGCCAATATTAGTGACCTAGCCATTGACGCAGATTAATGTCTACCAGTTGGCTAGCAACCTGCACTCACCACACAATTAGATATAGGAAATGCTATGAAAGGTCATTCCGAATCAAATCATGCCTGCCTTTTGGGATTTAGCTGGGGAAATACAGTATTCTGCTCATTTACCAGTTACTTTTTCTGTAAATCTATACTGTTAGGTAGGGTTTTAGCTTTTTAGATTAAGGTTTAGGGTCTAGGGTTAAAGTTAGGATTATGGTTAGAGTTAGGAGTAGGTTTAAGAACAGTGTAAGAAATATCAACAGATCCCAAAGTGCCATGACCTACAATCACCTAGATGAATGCATTTATTGAGCATAGTATGATTTCTTTATAAATTATCTGTGTAGTAACTGGGAGACATTTTTACAACACAAAGCGACAATTATATAGAATAATATCATGTTCGCAGTGCTTTTTAGTGCATTTTTCAACGATTATATGACTTTTCTGTATCTGAATTCTGATTGGTTGTTCTAGGTCATCGTAGTTTTGGCTATGATAGTTTAACTTTACCCAAATGATGAAAGCACAAAATGGTTGTGCATATGTCAAGGAGATGATTCAAAATAAATTCACATAGTGAAAATGAGCACGTTTGATTATTGACAAACTATGAAATAATCTGAAATGACAAGATTGAAGATAATGACAAGACAATAAGTTCACGTATTAATGTGTAAAACTTGAGCACTGTGGTAGTAAGTAATTGCATATTTCCAAAGGAGAATATACAAACAAACTGAGGTAGTTGCCATGGGATCACCAATATAACCAGTTGTAGCAGATATATACATGGATAGGTAGGAAAATATAGCGATTGAAACGTTTACCCCCACCCCAAAAGTATGGTGGAGGTATGTAAATGACACATTCACTGTACTTAGAACACAAGATATAGATAGATTTTTGAACACATCAACTCGAAGGTAGGGGAAATACAATTCACTTATGAATTGGAAAGTCAGTAAGGGGAGCTTCCAATGTTAGATTGCAACGTAAAAAGGAAAGAAGATGGGAAGTTAAACACTAGTGTTTACAGAAAACCCACACATTCAAACAGATACTTGGACTTCAGGTCATCCCATTCTATGTCAGTAAAAATAGGATTGGTGAAATCTTCAAGTGACAGAGCACAAAAACTAAGTAGTACCAAGGAAAATTTAAGACACGAAGTGACACACATAAAAGAAGTCTTGAAACTTAATAATTACCCTGATAAATTAGTCAAGAAATATGTGGGGAAATGTAAAAATAAAATAAATAATGATAGTAGTGATAGTGATAATAATAATATTAGTGACGGCATGCATGTCAAATATGCGCAAGACAACACCAACAATAAGGAATCTAAATCATCAGGAGTAATTCCATACAAGGAAGGAACCTCGGAAACCTTACGCAGAATTCTTAACA